GCTAGCAAAACTCGAAGGTTATAATGACTGAAATAGTACATTGACAGAGAATTACCAGAAATACAAGTTGGGTTTAGGAGAGGTCATGGCACTAGAGACAATATCACAGATGTAAGATGGGTCTTGGTAGAAAGCAAAGAGTACCAGAGGAATGTGTGTGTTTCACTGACTATACAAAGATGTTTGACTGTGTGGATCACTACAAATCGTGACTAACCTTGAGGAAAAGGGGAATCCCAGAACAATTGATTGTGTTTATGTGAAACCTACACTTGTACCAAGAAGCCCTTCTTAGAACAGAGCCAGGAAACACTGTTGTTATTGTATGTGCTGTTGAGTTGCCTGCAACCCAAAGCAACCCTATGCACAGCAGCTCTGAATGCTGCTCTGTCCTGAGCCAGTCTCACTAATTCCAACACACCAACCCCAACTACCACCGTTAGTGCATCAATCCATCTCATCTCGGGTCTTCTTGTCTTGCCCTATCCCTCCATCCATGGCTTAAAATCAGGAACGGTGTGCATCAGGGATGCATTCTGTCTCCATACATTTTCAAGCTATATGCAAAATAGATCATTCTGGAAGCTGAGCTTTATGAGGAGGTATGTGACATCGGGATTGGAGAAAGATGCATCAGCAACCTATATTATGCTGATGACACAACCCTGCTTGCTGAGACTGAGGAGGACCTGATGTATTTGCTGCAGAAGATCAAGGACTGTAGTCTTCAATATGGAATGAAGCTCAACATCAAGAAGACAAAGAATCTCACCACTGGGGCAATTGGCACTACCATGACAGATGGAGAAGAGATTGCACAATTACAGCTTACTCGGCTCACAATCAATATTTCTTGGCACCAGCTGTCAGGATAGCAAAAGACAAATTGCATTGGGAAAATCTGCTGTCAGGGGCCTCTCTGGAGTAATGAAAAGCAATGATGTCTGCAGACCAAGGTGCACCTGTTCCAGGCCATGTTCTTTGTAATTACTTGCTTTGGATCAGAGAGCTGGACAAGGATGACAGAAAAAGAATTGATGCCTTTGAGTTGTGGTGCTGGAGAAGAGTCTTCAACATACCATGGACTGACAAGAAAACAAACAGGTCTGCCATGGAGAGGGTGAATCCAAGTTTCTCTTTGGAGGCTAGGATTTTCTTCATTTCACATACTTTGGACACATGGCCAGGAGGGACCGATCCTTAGAGAAGGACATCATGCTCGGAAGGGTGGAGGGCCAGCGCAGGAGAGGAAGACAACAGATGAGATGGGTTGATAACTGTGACTGGGGAAATGGGGGTTAGTGTTTCAGAATCAGTGAGACTAGCTCTGGACAGGGCAGGCTTCAGAGATGCTGTACATAGAGTTGCTATGGGTCGCAGGTGGCTCAAAGGCATATAACACCACTAACACCACCACAACCACCATCACCACCACCACTACCACTTTGGCCATGTTATTAGGAGGTACCAGGTCTTGGAAAAGGAAAGCACACTTGGAAAATTAGAGGGTTAATGAAAGACAGGAATAATGTCAACAAGATCAAGTGACAGAGCAACTGCATCAACGGGTTTGAGTATGGCCATGAGGCCAGATGGCAGGACTGAGCAAGGTTTTCGATCTGCTGTTTCCAGGACTGCTACGAGTCACAGTCGATATAATAGCACCTAACAGCAGAAACAACATTTTAAAAAGTCCTTGCTTGTCTGATGTCAATTACAGAATAACTATCTCTTCAAATTCTACCACGTCTATTGTTTATGCTGACTTTAACAGAAAAAAGAGAACATAGATTTCTTGGCTTGTTGTGTAAGTCTTCCAATAGGTTCTTCCCTTTTCTTTATCAATAATTACAACTTATCTCATTGCCATAAGAGTTGACTAGCCTGAGAATGAATTATAATCTTATTCTATTCTTTATGTTTTTTCCCCACGTATAATATCTCTTTTCTCCCTAGCTAGTTTAATTTTTTAAAATTTCATACTGACATATATAAAAAAAATCATAAAGTATATATACATTGTTTTTCACACGAGGTTGGCATTCTGTTCTTTAAATAATTATTTTAATTCCTTTACCATTCTAACTTCTGACAAGCTTCTGATTTTTGCCCACCTGTGCCCAAATGTGAGCTAGCACATTTAATGTGGTTTGGTTTATTTTTTTAATTTATTCCCTACCCTTTCCTTCTTCAGGATTTAGTCTCCTTTTCCCCTAATACATGACGACATTTCTTTTTTAAAGTAAACAGTTTGTTGTATTTTTACAAAGAATAGGAGGCAAAGGAAGATTGCCAAGGACTTTCTTTGCCCAAGGTCACAAAAGAAAAGGCAAAATAAGGACTTGGGACTTCCTGATACACAGTCCAAGGTTTGGAAGTCAGGAAATTCTGACCTTTGAACACCAATTCTGATATGCCAAAAATTATTTGTGGTAGAATACTATAAAGGCTATAATTTTAAAAGGAGGAGCACAGGAAGGTAAAGCATATGTGTTTCCTGGGGAAAGAAAATAGAGTTCTAAGGTTCTAAGGGAAAGAGATACGTAAAGCTAGAATCCTATATGGTCCAATTGGAACTCAGAAGAGAAAGAGGAAGACAGAAGATGTATGGCAATAGTTGACAGAAATGGTATCAGAGAAAAAGAATGCAAATTAAGGAGAGAAAAGGACTAAATACCATATCTGACAGAGTATAGCAGTTTTAAACATGTCATTCATACACATACACACACACACACACACACACACACACAGATTCAGATGTGAGCATGTTCAAAATTTTTTTTCTTACTGTGCAGTCACACATACAACATATCCTCAAGAAAAAGGAATATAAAGATCTATAAAATAAAAGTGAAAATGTACACAGATAAGAATACTCCTTCCCTCACATGCGAGGAGTTTCTCATGCATTTTTCTTGTGTGCTGTTGAGTCAGAACTGACTCATAGCTGATGTATCAGCAGGTTTTCAAAGGCTGTAAACTCCACGGGAGGAAACTGCCCATCTTTCTCCTATGGGCCAGCTGGTGGATTTGAACCAAGCTAGGAGAAGTATCTGCATAAGCCTTTGTTCAGAATATTAGCCCAGTTGTCTAGTTTTGAATACAGATCTCTCTACTTAGTAACTGGGTACCTTGTTACTTAATCTCCCTGAGCCTATGGTCTCTTTTGTAAAATGGGAAAATTAAAGGATTGTTACATAATTAGATACTTTAAATGACTAAAACACTTAGAATAGTACCTGCCACATAATGAGTACCACATAAATGACTTATTTGGAAAGAAATACATTCATATGTTCAACTTAAACTATGAAACAGTGATAGCAGAAAAAGTGACAACATAGTCTAGTTAAATAAACATAAAAAAGGGAGATGTCTAACATATCACTGATCTGGGTGGGAAAGAGAGCAGGAGAACATGGATTTGGTGGGGCCCATACATGATCTGAGACATTGAAGGACAATTTTAAATCCAGACTCTTAATGCTAAAACCTAGTCTTAAGACTAGAATTACTGTGGTGCCTGGAAGGTGAAGGCAGCAGTTGCTCAGTTTATAGAGAGCCCAACAGAGTTAGAATGATGGGTGGCTTAAATAACCAATTTAAATAAAGGACCATGGAAGTGAAATCAAGCTGTCTATAAGCCCATAAGCATATCTTATTTTCTTGTATTTTTGCATTATAGTGTACACAGATATTGTGCTTTTTACAAATTGAAGGTTGTGGCAATTCTGCATTGACCAAGCCAATTAGTACCATTTTCAAACAGCATGTGCTCACTTTGTGTCTCAATTTGTGCCATTCTAATAATTCCTACAATATTTCAAACTTTCCATAATACCATTAGACACTTAATACAGCACAGTGTATGTATACCTTTTATATATGGACTGGGAAACAAAAACATTCATGTGGCATGCTTTAATATATTGCTTTACGACAGTAGTCTGGGACCAAACATGAAATAACTCTGAGGTATGTCTATATTTACTTTGCCTCTTACAAACTGGTTTCTGATCCTAGCATTCTACTGAAACACACCTTTCTGGGACTGTTAATAATTTCCTAATCTCCATAGCAAAGGGCCTGAGTTGCACCTCAACTGACATTTACACTACTTCTGAAAGCACAGACTACCGTGTATGTGGTGACCAGGCTACCTACCATATGCAGCTCTCCTCTCACCTGCCTAATTACTCTATTGCCAGCCTGTCTTTATAGTTCTCACCAATTCTTTTTCATTTATTCTTAGGAACTTCTTGTAACCCATACCTCTGCTCTTCATGCGTGCTGTCACTGTCTGAATGCGGGCCTCTGTGATCTCCCTTGGGCTTCTCAAGCAGAGTCAGACGTTCTCATGTTTCTGCTCTCCTACTCTCTCCACTGCTTAAACAAAGTTATTGTCTCTTTAGAACGAACATGACCCTGCCATTCTCCTTACAAGCCATTATGCTTCAGCTTCAGAACATAAACTTTAAACTTCATATATTGGATTTGTCATTATCTCCCTCCAATTTACCTCCTAAGTTTCATCTTTCACTTCTATCCAAACTGAACTGCTCTCACTGTTCCCTGAATACAGTATGTCCTACAACGCTGGACCTGGGCCACTCTTCCCTATCTTTTTAATTTAAAATTAAATCTAGAAAAGTCCTTTTCTTCCTCCACTACCCATTTTAATGGTCATTTCTTGAGGATTTTCCTTCAGCAGAGAGAAAGAATTATTCTTTGAATGTCTGAAGCACTATAATACATGTCATGTGGAATTTTTATTTACCTATTTTTAAATTATTTATTTTATTTATTTTTTATTTACCTAATTTTTATTTTCTATTAAACTTGGCACATCTCAAAGTTTTCTAAAAACTCCTATAACGTTGCCTCCAAAAAAAGATATTAGCTGAACCAAATGTAATCCTTTCATGGAGTAAATAAAATTTTGAATTCTAACAACATAAATTTAAATAGAAAAGAAGAAAAAAAAAAATCAGACAACTTTAGTAGGAATTAAGACTATAGCCGAGCCGGGCGTGGTGGCGCGCGCCTGTAGTCCCAGCTACTCGGGAGGCTGAGGCTGGAGGATCGCTTGAGTCCAGGAGTTCTGGGCTGTCGTGCGCTACGCTGATCGGGTGTCCGCACTAAGTTCGGCATCAATATGGTGACCTCCCGGGAGCGGGGGACCACCAGGTTGCCTAAGGAGGGGTGACCCGGCCCAGGTCGGAAACGGAGCAGGTCAAAACTCCCATGCTGATCAGTAGTGGGATCGCGCCTGTGAATAGCCACTGCACTCCAGCCTGGGCAATATAGCGAGACCCTGTCTCTTAAAAAAAAAAAAAAGACTATAGCCGATAGGAAGCCAGGAACTTTCCTCACCGTTGTATATCTTTATTCTTCCACAAGGAGGCAGACTGAGCCTTTGGCACTCTTTCAATAAAATTCACCAGCTCTTCCATGAGGAGCCTGAGGATAAAGGGGAAAAAAGTGATAAAACATTCATAACAATATTAGAGAAACACCATGCTCTAACATCACAGTCAGGAGAAATAAATTTGCCTGCTCCTACCATCTTCTTCCTCTACTGCATATAAATACAAGGACAATTTCACACAGAGTTAAATAGCTAATATTCTCAATGAATTTCCAAGTAAAGGATTCTACTTCTAAATTATTTATATTCACCTTTAAGCAAGTCTGTTGTGTTTCTTTTGTCTGAACACTGTAATATAGAAGATTGGTTTAATATTAAAAAAAAAGGCCTCTGCCTTTTAATAAAACGGGAAAAAAAGGTAAATGACTGCGAATTACCTTGTTTTAGTGGTAGCAAGGATAGGGAAAAGAAGACAGCATGAGAATACTAAATGGGCATTTTAAAATGATAAATTTTCTTGAAATAGTCTAGTAATTAGCAAAATTCTACACAGAAGAATACTTTCAGGATTAATTCTGAAAATTTAAAGCACCAGTATATCTCTGAAGATCCTAAAATGAAATAACCACAGAGATACTAAGAAACACCTCACTCCGTTGTATCAATGGTGCACATGATACGAGACCAAGAATTGTTCTAAACTATTTTTTAAAAAATTACTGTGATTTGAATGAAAGTTTACAAAGAAATTGGTTTTTAATTCTTGTATTCTAGTCTATATACATTTCCCCTCTCTTTTACTCTACATTTAATCCACATTGCATGCACTATTTCAGATTGTTAATGGCAATACACATAATATGTGATCATTCATTTCAGATCGACCTTCCATTCATCTTTTCCAGTCTCTCTGCATCCTTGTCAGTATTGGTTGTCTGCTGTCCTGCTGAACTTTGCTACTGTTGCTAGAGTGAGATGATACTTCAATGTTGTGATTTGCTTTTCTCTAATAGCTAGTGGTCTTGAACATTTCAAGTATTTTTTTTTTCCATCTGAACATCTTTGGAGAAAAATCTTTTCCTATTTTCTATCCATTTTGTAACTGAGTTGTTTCTTTCCTGTTGAGGTGCTGGTGTATTCTATATATTTTAGATATGAGTCCCTTATTAGATATGTCATTGCTAAATATTTTTCCCCAATCTAAGCTTTCTTTCTTACTTTATTGAAAAAGTTTGAGAAGCACACAAAGATTCAATTAGTTAAACAAGGCTTTATTAATTTTTAAACTCTCCTGTTTGTAGATTCTTGGTTATGTTTGGAAGTCTAGTCAAGTCATAGGTTAAGGCTTCTCAATTTGGTCCTATTTTTTCTGATGATCAACACAGTCTTTGGGTTTAACTTAGGTCCTTCATCTACCTTGAATTGGTTTTTTTCTGTGGTGTAAGATGTGGAACTTGTTTTAGTTTTCTAAAGACAGATGTCCAATTTTGGTAGAACCATTTGTTAAAAATGCTGTTGTTTCCGCACTTAATGGATTTCATCTCCGTATCAAAGATCAGTTGATAAGTAAACAAGTTGATTTCTGAATCTTGATTCTATTCCACTGGTCTATTATGTCTGTCACTGTACCAAATGCCATGCTGTTTTTATTACTATGGATGCGTAGTAGATTTTGAGAACAGAGAGTGTGACACCTTCTACTTTTTCTTTTTCAGAGAGCTGCTTATTTGAGGGTCTCTTTTCTTTCGATAAAAAGCTGGAATGTGCTTTCTCCATCTTTTTGTAGGATGGTAATGGTAATCTGTATTGGGATTGCACTAAACCTTTAGATTGGTTTTGGCAGAACTGTCATTTTAACAATATTGAATCTCATTATCCATAAACATGGTATATGCTTCCACTTATGTAGGCTTCTTTTTTGTTTTTTGTAGTTGTTGGTAGGTACCGTTGAGTATGAGTCACACGACCCTATGAACAGCCAACCTGAACCTTGCCCTATCCCTTGCCATCTTCATTACCTCTGACATGGCTGAACCCATTGCTAGAGTCACTGGGTCAATCCTTCTTGTTGGGGGTCTTCCTCTCCTTTGCTGACCCTGCTGACCCTCCATCTTTCCAAGCATGAAAACTCTTTCCAAGGAAGACCTAGCTACATGTCCAAAGTATGAAAGATGAAGCCTCATCATCCTTGCCTCCAAGAAACACTCTGGCTGCATCTTCTCAAAGACATATTTATTCTTTTGGCAGTCCAAGGGATATTCAGCACTGTAGTAGTGTTTTGAAATTTTCTTTACATAGGTTTTTTTGTGTCTCTAGTTATTTTTGTTCCTAAGAAATTAATCTGTGGTTGGCTTCTGTAACTGGTATTGTTTTACTTATTTCCTTTCCTATGATCTCTATATTGTAGAGAAATCCAACCAATTTTTGTATGTTGGCCTTGTATCCAATCGCTTTATAGACTTGGCCTATTAGGTTCAACAGTTTTCATGCCAAATCTTTGGAGTTTTCTATATACACTGTCATATCCTCTGCATAGAGATATGTTTTACCTCCTCTTTGTCAATCTGAATGACTCTTATTTCCTTCTTTTGCTTTATTACTCTAACTAGCTCTTCCAATATGTACTCAAGAGGAGTGGTGACAGTGGACATCCTTGCCTGGTCCTTATTTGCATGGGGAATACCTTTAATCTCTCTCCATGGATGATGAGATTGGCTATTGGTTTAGCTTATATGTTTTTAATTATGTTGAGGAAATTATCTTTATTCATATATTTTTAAGCATTCCGATAAGAAAAGGGTATCAGGTGTTTTCAAAAGCCTTCTCTGAATCAATTGAGATTTACACCATGTGTTTTACTCACGTGGCAGATGACATTTACAGTTTTTCTTATGTTGAACTTTCCTTGTATATTGTTCTAAATTCTTTGTTTTTTTGGTTCTAAATTCTTGATGGCTACAAGATGCCCAAAAGCTATAAGCAGAATTTCAACATCTATAACTTCCATTCATCCTCTAAGAGTCAGTATGTTCACATGGCAAACTATAAAGTTATTCCCATCTGAATAATGAACAATTTCATTTTTCCTATTTATTATCTAGTCCTTAACACAATCTCCTCCGTTCAGGCACAAAGGAACAATGCTTGTCCCTGAATTCAAAGGACTGGGATCCAAGTGATCATTCTCACTGCAGCTTTCATAAGAAGAGTCTCCGTAGGCAGTATTTACAGTTTTTAGATCAGAGTCTAATGTTCTTTTCTTCTTCTCTCTTTGAAACAGATCTGCTATCTTGACAGTTTTACTGTCCTATGATCATCCTTCCTTGGATAGCTGGTTTTCCCACCTGTACTTACTAGAGGTCATGTGGTTTGACACAAAAACATGTAAATATTTTGTTTTCTTTCTGGTAATTCTACCTTGTTAGACATCTGCAAGAATAAGAACCTATGTTCAAGAGTCTATGCAGATTCCAAGTATGCATATTTTGGATCTGGTAAGCCCAATTTACATCAAACTCATCAATTTACTTCATTAACTACTCCTTTCCTGGGTAATTTACTTCATATGCTTGGTGTTTCTTTTTTTCTTTTTTTTTCCCTCCTTCCTCTCACTAAGGGATGCTAACAATACTTGCAGCAACCAGCTAGGTTATGAAAGCTTCACAGGAGCTGAGAAAGACAAAATATTCTCCAGTCAAAGAACACTTTACAGTTTTCATTCCTTACGAGTCCCAAGTTTCTCTGTATCAACTCTAGAGACAATTGATTCACCTACTTCCTTATCTCTTGGGTTGTTTTTTTTTGCAGTAAGTCATCCCTGTTAAGCTACAAAAGGGAGAAAATTTGCAAGCAAAGTAGTGTAATTTGTTTCTCTATGTTCCTTTTCCTTGAAGCTCTTTGCTGTGCATTGCTAAAGCCAGGAAAACTATCTCTGGAAACTCCTACAGCAGTTCATAAGGGTGGGGGGGAGATTAAGACTCAGAAATGCCACTGAACATTTCTTTATCTGGACAGGCACTTACACAGAACTTTTTTTAAAATTTTTTATTAAACTTTATTAATTTTAATGAACATTTACAGAGATTTTATATTTCCATTCATTCATTGTTACACTAACACAGAACTATCTTGTGGGTCAGTTGCTTAGAGGAAATAACTATCAATCCTAACATAACACCTAATTAAATGTCAATACTGAAGGAAGAAGCTTTTCAGCTAAATTTTAATGGGCTAAGAAGAAATACTCTTACCTGCCAATCTGAACAGTGGGTTCTGTAGCGTATACAGTGCCTGTGAAACCAGTGTGCTCAGTGATGTAGGGCAGTGCCATCATGCAATGATAGTTAGAGATGAGGATCACATCTACTGTAGACAGATCTATTAGCTCGGTCTGAAAAGAAAGGGAAGGAATGATATATATCTGCTCAGGGCACATAGATCAACATGATGTGACTGAACAATGATGCTGTCAGATGCAGAGGAGGAGGTTTTGTACTACAGAATAATGAAGCCTTTCCTGCAATACTTCTATTCTCTCACTTTAGGATATTTCCTAATATTGACATTAAATAGTAGGACAGGATTGCGAATGATGAGAACACAGCCATCCTAGGGCATAGTTATGTGCTGGACACAGGAGGAGAAACAAAGGCAGGAGGCCTTTGTACCTGTTGCCTGGCAAGAGAAATCAAGTAACCTAAAGTGAACAGAGAACATTATAAACTATAAGGGGATACAGAATGTAATGTACATAGTGTAGACTAATTAGGAACACAGAAAGCAGCACACAGAGCCAACACATCAAATAAGAGAGATACTGATTACCAGTTTTACAGATAACAAGGATACACAAATACACACCAATAGAAATACACAGTT